ACTTTGAACAAATGCAGAGTGTTTTTCCATTTCCAAAAATATCACATGGTAATATAAAGATAAAAGAACAATCTCAGTTATCACAGATAACATAGATATATATACTGAATATAAATGTAGCATTTCGCCTACCAGAGCCAAAATACGCAATTATCATACAGTATTATATAAACCACAATATGAAGTCTTAAAAGGAACGTAGAAATTAGGTAAACTACAAATTGATGCAGACTTTTGCTCTGACATCTGACTGTAATTTACATCCATAAGTTGATCATGAATGAAAGTATGAACCCCTCATTCACAGAGAGACAGACAGGAATGTCTGCTGTCAACACTGAAATTTATGGACCCTTCAAGTGATGCCTGACATTCCCAGAGACTTCACAAAAATCGCTGCAGGCCTGCCATCTGTGTTATGTGCGTGCATGTGATTTCTGTCTTCCGTAAAGCATGTGTGATTACAGTTGGAGGCCGTGGGAAAGGCAGCCACCTACACCCACACACACACACACACACACACAGCCCCTCACAGACAGTACGTAGTCATTCAGTGGCAAGACAGGGTCGTGTCTCTTCAGGCAGAGGGGGAGTAGAGAAAATAAGCAGTGGGAGAGGGAATCTTATTCTTGTGGGCCCGCTTGTTTTCTCTCCTCACTCTTTGTTTACCTCAATAAATATGCTCCCATCTTCTCTTGCAACCACAAGCACAGTGGAGGCATGCTGCCTCAAGCAACAGGGAAGCATAAGAGAGCAGTAATTGGACTGTATATGGATGGAGGTCGACAGCTCAGACTTGGCAGTTTTCTAGATTACTCTAGCAGATTTCAAACAAAGTATCAGTAGCAAATGTCTGTTAAATCTGAGAAAAAATTATATTTAAGTCCGGCTATTTAAGTCCTGGTCATCTGATTTTCAGCACATCGTCATGTTGTAAGTTGATTTACAAAAAACAAGATACAAAATATAAGAAATATAATCCAGTAGTTTTAGATTATTAGGTATATCAGCTTCTGTGGATATGTGAATATTTGGTCAACAAAAATACAAAACCATTTTTTTGGAATGTCCTCTTACCCCTCATATTCCGTTCATCTTTTCTACATAGTACAGATATTCACGTGCTTTGAGTGCATTTTCCTTCCCAAAAAAGGATGGAAGAAATCCCCTTTCAACCTAAATACTTTGGCTTGGTTGAGTGAGCGCACTGACACAATTTCCTAAACAATTCATGAGATGTCTGACATGCATTGTACAGAGTACAACTGGATTGCTGCAGTGCAGCTCCATTTTTAATCAAGAATTTACACCACTTTTTGTGGTTTTAGTTGTTGAGAAATCCATTTGAGCTCACTTCTTACAGGGCTACCTTAATTGGGATTGTTCCACAGCTCGAGCCACGGTGCAAATATCAATCATGACACAAGTTACACTAATATGTCAGGTACATTGTTTGAATGATAAGGAGCTTGAGTGCTTGAGAGCTCATATTGATACATACAGTAACCATTTCTAGTGAAGCATAAAGCATGGACCACATTTGTCTTTTCCAATTTTTTTATGTGTAGTGAATGTAGCATGTTTTAAACTTTTTAAAGTTAAAGTGGAGAAGGATAGATAAAAGCTGTGGGTGCTTCTCATGAAAAACATCCCTGCCATTGCCCTTCTAATCTGAAGGATGCCTAAATAAGATATTAACAGACCATAACACTTTATGTTTTTAGGGTTTTAAAGTTGGCACCTAATGCTCCAAAATTGATGCCCTCAAACTCACAAAGTAATTTTTCTTATGGCCACTTAAGATAAAAAGTATACTTCATAGGCGCTTCCCAGACATCATTAGAGAGCCAAATAATCTCCTTGTTAGTAAAGTGGTGAGTGCCCCAGCTTGTCACACGGGTGACCGGAGTTCAATTCCCCAATGGGGAGATGCACATGTACATATTCTCCTCTGTGAGTCGCTTTGGATAAAAGTGTCAGCTAAATACATAAACTGCCTTTGGGAACTGGGCTAGGACACTCCTTAGAAGTTTGAATTATGTTCCTCGTGTACATGCATTTCAAATCTCGAACATGACCTCTGCTAAAAACAGGTCTGCTTCTCCTCTTTGTTCTGCAGGAACGGATCTTCCTGACACTGTCCAACTACATCTTCACTGCGATTTTTGTGGCTGAGATGACCGTAAAGGTGAGGCACCATCACATTCTGTACCATTATCAGTTCACCATTGTTCATTGCCGAAAGCCCAGGTGTTCTATTTTCAACATTATGTGTGAAGTCATCTGTGACTTCTGTCTTTCTGTCATTTAGTTCAGCTCTTAGCCCACAAAATGACACCGCTCTCTCACAATGAGAACTATCCTTTACCCCACGCTTTGAAAGGAGCATTATATGATACATCTGCATGTGCCTGCAATGCAAACTTTTAGTATTAGATGGGGACACCCCAGCCGGCCTCTCAAACCACTAATATACCTCAAAGCCGTGCAGGAAATACTGTCTAAAAGCAAAGGGGGAAAGGGAAAATGGTTGGAAAGGGAGTGAGAATGAGAGGCCAGACAGCGAAACACAATGAGGATCGTCTCGCCAATATTCAAATGACTTAGCTTTGACTGGAAGTCTGTGCAGGCATGGGCAGGAGTGAGCAGAGGCAGAGGGGAGGAAAGTTCATGGCTGTCACTCTTTCAGAGCCCCTGCCTCTATTTTTGGCCCCAGTTACTCGCAGATGTCGTTCTGGCTCATAAACTCACTTTAATGTGTCTGTTGATTCGGATTTTGCGTATTTATTGCCATATCCTCGAGTCTTCATCTTAACTCTAATCCTAAAACACATTTGCATCATGTAACCCCCCCTTAATCCATAATTATGTGAAAACTGTTATATCAACTGAAGTTTTGGAATTTTGGAAACTAAGTGAATAAATACATGTAATTAAATTCATTGGGATATTGATAAGACTGCAAGTTTATAACACGTAAATTTAAATAAATCCTCCAGCCATTGCATTGCAAAAGATTAAACTTGGCTTCTTTAAACAACTTTAAATAACAACTGTCATTTTGAGACGTCTCTGTCCTGAAAAGATCTGAGATGGTTTTGTGATTGTATCAACTGATGTGATTCGATATCAGGTCAATATTTTAGAAAGAATGGCAAGAGTCAGTTCTGTGGGCACCAGATATAGTTCTAGGCCTCTGGAGGAGCTCATTGAAGAGCTTGTGAGCTGCCAAGCCTTTCTGAAACGGCACCGTTGGAGCAGGGAAACATGTCAAACAGGTGGAGCCAGGGGCTTCAAGAGCAGGACTGGGACACTGGGAACAAAAAATTGAATGATGTGTAGTTTATTCTGCAGTGCCTGCAGTCAAAATTCACTTTGAAGAACCAATCCCAAAATGGAATCACATAAATTCTTGTCAACCGATTGAGGGTATGAGAAGTTAAAGTCTGATTGCTCACCAGAATTTAAAAGCCATATTTGCCAGCGGCTCAGGATGGTGCATTTCACAGTGCAGGTTAAACACGGCGTGACTGGGAACTTCAGCTTGTCCACGGGTAATGTCTTGACCTTTGTAAATGACATGATCGAGCATGACTTGATCGAACAATCTTTGTAAATGATCCATATATACCTGCTAAAACTACTTACTGGATTAGATATTCCCTTGACTTCACTGGCAACCATCCCTGTTGGCTGCTTCCATCTCTATCTTACTGAGGCTGCTGGGATAGTTTTTCTTTTCATTTAACGGCATTCTTTAGTAAGTTAAAGCTGCCCTTTGCATCTTAACAGATCTCTACTCTATCTCTAGAAGGTCTCTCCTAGCCAGAACAAGTGGTGAAGAAACCAGCTGATAACAATTTTGGAATTTCACATGCACCCTTGAATCATCGTGGAACCAATATTAATTAAGAATAATGAATTAATGAATGAATAGATGTAAACTATATGTTTTACAAATACAATCTTATAGTTAGAAAATGCCATACGTATATTTGGTATCACATATTTTTCTACTTGTTATTTTTGAAACGATGTCGCCCCATCTTAAGATTTCTAATGACAAATTGCTGCCGTTATATGCGGTCAAACATACCTCTAGCTTTTGTTTATTATCCTCTTTCGTTGACACTTGGCTGTACATTCAACCATTTAAGTTCTGAGAAGGTTAAACTCTTTACTGGAAAAACCCCCAGGAGACAAGCTACTGTAGCTAATGGTTAACATGTTGTTGCACATGCTCAAAGTTGTCATCAAGACAAATAGCGACTACTTTAAATTCAAATAAATGAGAGGTTTCTATCATAGATTGGCCTCCGTCTTATTCCTGTATTTTCTTTAGTTCTGTTTATTGGGTTAAAAAAGTGGACTGAAAAAAGTAGAAGTAAAAGAAACGTCAATAATTGGAAATGTCCAAACCTGTTATTGTTTTTTTTGTTAGTGTATCTCCTTCAAGACAACCAAAATAAATCATCATCTGTCTGTCACCAGTGCCTGGTTCAGCACTTTTGTAGCTATAGTTGTTCAGAGATTCGTGATGCAGAAAATAGTTTTGTTGGCCTTGTTTAATAAGTTCGAGCGAAAGGAAAGGAAAATGGAAAGAAAAGGTAAGTCAGCCCATCTTACTTTTTATTTTTCTGGGATTCAAATTGCTTTGCAGGCAGAATAAATTAATGAAGAATGGGACCCGTGGAATTAGAGATGAGGTTTGCAAGGCTGGCAGCCTTTATAATCTTCCCTGCTTGGAAAACCAATTCTACAAGATCAATAAGATGGGCATATGAGGCATTATGCAAAAACCACCTGACGATAAGCAAACCCAACTAATGCACAGACGCAATTTCATGAACGCCGATTTACGTCAAATGCTGACCACGATTTAGAGTTTTAACCACTTTCATTCGCAGAAATCGATTAAAGAGGCACTCTTATATCACACCAAACTCGACCTGTGCCGCATATGAACGTACCGTTGGTTCTGTGTCCACCTCTCTGCTCAGATCGCGGCCATGGGATGGTTTTTCGGAGACAAAGCCTACCTGAGAAGCAGCTGGAACATTCTCGACGGGATGCTGGTGATGATCTCCGTCATCGACATCCTGGTGTCTCTGATCTCCGACTCGGGGACCAGGATCCTGGCCCTGCTCCGAGTTTTGAGGCTGCTGAGGACCCTGAGGCCCCTCCGGTGAGTGGGCTGCTGCCATTTACAGACAGAGAAATCCTCTCTGAGCTTCCCATTACAACTACTCTTACTAAAACTTGTCTATAGACAATAGTGGAAAGATAAAAAAGCTAAATGTTTAAGGCTTTAGTTCCTTATTATAACGTTTCTACAGTCTTTCTGCTTGGATGGGTAGCTCTTCTAGTAAAAATGGTGTATTCTGGTTGTTTTCTTTTCATAGGGGATCATGAACAACTCCTTTATTTTCTCTTCCCTGTAATGTGCCACATTTTAGCGCATCTTTGTATTTTTGTCACTGTGTGTGTGTGTGTGTGTGTGTGTGTGTGTGTGTGTGTGTGTGTGTAAGCATATGTTTTTGGCATCCTTACAGAAGCTCATATTTGCACTGTAATGTTTATTTGAGTAGAAGCGAGGCGGAAATCTCCCATTTGGAAACAGTTTTTCTACCCTCACAGCCCAAAATGTAAGTGTGTTTGGTCAATCCAGCCTGGGTCTTTACATGTGTGCACAGTGCTTTAGTTTTAGCCTCAATTTGTGCACGCTTGTGTGCACATGGAGCTTTTTGAGTGTCTTCACGCCTGAGTTGAGTTACAGCCAGCGCACTGAATGTCTCGTCTCGTACAGAGGAGATCTCCAAGTTTGCCCCCACTTGAATATTTATTGCAGTTCTTGGGAAAAGCACAAAAATCTTATATTCATTTTCATCCCTCCAAATTTACCTTCTAAACACCAGGGATCTTTCTGCTCAACTTTCACCTTTGGCGTAAAAAGGTGAATTCTGATTTTGCTTTCTTGCCCTCAAGGTGTTACTTTCTGAGTTCAAAATGAGATCTGTGTGTGATTTTTTTTTAAAAGCTTTTCCCCCTTGAAAAACAAAAAATCCTTAAACATAATGTTGAGCTGTAGTGCTTTCATCAGGTTCTAACTGATAAAAGCTTTACAAAATAATCTAATTGCAATGGAATAGAAGAGCTGAAACATGCCTTAAACCTTTTCCTATGCAGGGGCATTTCTGTGACGTTATGTGTCATTTCTGTGAAAACACAAATGTAAATTGAGTATATAGGGCAACTACACAGTTTATGGGATAAAAAAAAAAATTCTAACAACTTTTCTGTGAAAGTGATTTAGCATTCATTTTCTCTTCTTTGGTTATTGTGCTGGGGAATATTGTAAAATGACAGAGTGATACCCCGTCGTAGCTGCTGGTTTAACTGTTCCAAAAGTAAGAAGAGATGCCAAACAAGGAGGAACCAGATAGAGAAAAATGATGGAGAAGTTAATCATGCTTCAAAAGAGAATTCGGCCTCTATTTTGTTACATGAGCTTATAAGGGAGTCATGTATTTTGTTACATACTCACTTATAAGCTGGAGTGGAGATGAATAGACTAACCAGAGGTATATTATAGTTTTGACCCCAGCAGTGGTAAAAAAGCTAAAGAAAAAACACAGAAAACAACAACACTTTAACTCACATGAATGAAAAATTCCTTCCGAAGTCCGAATAGTGTTGAGATGGGGAAAATGCTCAAATGATTAAAAAGACAAGCCAGGTTCAAACTGCTGCCACCTCTTCTTTAAGCATGTTGGTCCTTCTGTCGGACCCCCTCCCACGTTTAATCTCTCGAAGGCAGCTAGGCTGACGCTGTATTAATGTCAGGAAGGCAAGGTTTTTCCAGTCAGATTAGAGAACACGCGGCAATCCCGGGAGGAAGTTGAACAAATTCGAAGTATAGATCACAAAAGAGTAATGATTTCTCATGTCTCGTGTCTTCAGTAGGAGAGGGATGCGAAATGGCAGAGAGAAAATAGGATTTGGGCGGTAAAGCTGAAGAAGTGTTTGTGTCAGTCTAAGCACTTGCTGGAAAATGTGGTAAGTTAGTTGAATCACGAAACTCCAAGTGATTCCGAATTTTACCCGGCAGACATGGCTTAGTCGCCCATAAAGCCTCCGCGTTCGTTTCTGCTCCAGCGTGTTGTCGCCACGGTCCCTTTGTGGCAGACTTGCTCTCACAGGGTGTTCGAATTAGATATGAGCTGTCTGTGTTTTTCCCTCTGGCACCACAGTTCTGCTGTCACTGATATGGGAATAAGTATCAATCAACAATCAATGATGTGCTCCCTGGATGAATTCATGGCAGCCTGTGATTTATGGCAGCTTGTTACTCCAGCAAGCCGGCGTTTAAAGAGTGGAGGATGTCCACTGGAGGGGATTTGGAGGTAGCGGTAAGCTATCGGTGTGCTGTGCGAGGAAACCGCAACAGGCACGTGTTTGCATGCAGGAGTTTGTTTTTGTGTTTTGTTTTTTGCTTCTCATTAGAGATATTAATGGTGTCACCGCTTTACACGGGGACGCATTTGTGCCAGCGTGTGCGCCTGTGACAGAATGATCCATTAGCTTTGCTTAACAGAGCATGCACGCAAGAAACACCTCTGCAGTCATACATCAAGCACACAACCAGAGCTGAGGGCTGGCCTCAGGGAAGGCGCTACAAGTTAGCGCCTCGTGTCACCAGATGGCACTTTCATATCACCCAGCATCAACTATGCCTCGTCTACAATAGAGCTGTAGCCTAGAAACCCCCACAGCAATCCATTCCCACCTTGGTGTGTTCATTAATTCCACCCGACACACACACACACAGACCCACACACACACACACTGATACACACTCTGAGACTTCTCGGCAGGAGGCTGGACGCAAACAGCTCCGGAGTAGTTGTGAGGTCAGGCCTGATCATTAGGCGTGTTAGCTGATAAACCCCCACAGCGCTCCATCTCTGTCAGATCAGCCACCGAGCTCATCTGCCACTCAATGATGATGTTAATGTGATGACAGCTTTTGTATTTAGTGGATTAGAATTAGCCTTCACCCCCCTCCTGTCACTGTCAAAAAGTAACCTCAGACCAGAATGCAATATCCCTCGGTACACGCTGCACAGAGTGAACTTTTTACAATGAAGGCTCAACATATGGCGAAATTATTCTATTTCTCAGGCAGCAAAGAGTTTATCATCATACCAGATATTGAACTGTTGGCTTTGGGTTCTGGTCCCTGTTCTCTGCTGAAAAGCTATTTGTGTGAGCTTGCAGTACAGCAGGGTACTCACCAAGCTGTCAACATATCAGCTTGGGTTAGTTTTAGGGGAATTACACTAACCCAGGCTTATGAGGTTGTTGGGAAAGGTGTATTTTATATACAAATGTATGTTGATGGTTCAACGGAAGGAGGCTCTAAACCAGTTTGATATATATCTCTGCTTAGGGTCAGCAAATGTCTATTAAATGAAGATTCAGTTCATATTGATTCATCTTTACACGCAGTGTGACAATTGAAAAAGAACTACGGCAAAAGGCTTCACAAAAGGAAAAGTACAAGACACTTATTTAGTCTGGTGGGGGCAAAAAACTAAGTTCAGGTAGTCTCATTCCCCCCTCCCTCTGTTCCCAGTATCCATTTCTCAGCGCCATTTAACCATGTGCAGTGTTTGCTCTCTTTGAACAATCCTGGCTCTTACTGCCCTACTTGTTGTTCCCTTAATGTGAATGATGGTGGTGAAGCGAGGCGGGGGGAGCCGTGTGTGCAGGTGCTGAGCATGGCAACAGTCTCCTTCTTCTGCAGCCCACAGAACAAGGACACGCTGTGAAACACCGTGAAATTATGCACCGAGGTAGATCAGACGGAGTGAGCGCTAACTTCTCCCCCCCGGCTCCCACCATCCATTCCAGACTCGTCCTCTTTTTTTCCTTTTTTTTTTGTGCGTCACACACAAACAGTTACCATGGAGGGAGGATCCCATCACAGTGTGCATCCCTCATATACCATATACCGTCATCAGAGACTATTGATTCAGAATAGGAGGTTCATCTCTCCTTCTTTTGCCTCGTCACAGTGAAGCTGGAAAATAGGCCAAGATGTAAAGACGCGGAAGGGTTTGGCCTGAGGTTTTCATATGCTAAACGGCAATGTGGAGATTTTCTTGTTCTTTTTCTTTTCTTTTTTTAATGAACCACCTTGCTTTTTTTTGCAATAGATCCTGAGGTATATTGAAGGTCTTTCAAAGTTGTTTTTGAGACATTTGCTGCATATTCGCTCCAGTCTTTTAATCTGATTATTTTAGATGAATGTGCATTTTTGTTTCTTTTGTTACTTTGACACAAAACTATTAATCATATAATCGTACTTTAACTCAAGTCTGTGTGAGATTTTTGTTCTGTTTTTATTTTGTTATCAGCAGACTTTCCTAGATACAATATTTGTTCCCATCCCCATTCTGGAGGCTGTGTGACCTCTCATTCAAGTCATTGCAGCTATATTCCTTAAACTTTCTTCTGTAAGCTCTGATTGACTACGACAGGTGTGTCAAACTCCAGTCCTCGAGGGCCGCTTCCCTGCAGGTTTCAGAGGTGTCCCTGTTTCAACACACCTGATTCACATCATAGAGCCATTAGGAGACCGGTGCAAAGCTCCAAAATGTCCCAAGGAGATCCCATTTAATCAGAATCAGGTGTGCAGAAGCAGGAAAATGTCTAAATCCTGCGGGACAGCGGCCCTCGAGGACTGGAGGTTACGGTATCAAAGTTTAGTCTCAGTACGACAACTTCGAAAATGGCTTGTGAGGTACAGATACAAGCATTGTCAGTGCAGCAGGCGAACAGCTGGAAGAGATTCATTGGGATATTTCATGCCTTGAACTCTCATGGTAAATCATCCAGTTGTAATAAGATAAAGATAATAAACAGTTGATAATGCAGTTTATCTATGATGTGAATTCAATCACGCCATTCGGCTTGTTGGCTTATCCAACAAGGGATATCCTCATGCGAGTGAAAATATGAAGTAGCATAAACATCAGGTCTTGAGCATTTGGCTGGGGAAAGCAAATTTATCCCATATTTATAAGGAGATTGGCAATTTTTTAATCCCTACTTCACTATGAAGAAATAACTTACATGATAAAAAAGATTTCATCTAATAAAAGAGAATAACTTAACTGGACTTGGTTCCTGGACTGAACAGAGGAATTCAATGTATATGTCTAGAGCATTTCGCCAGGGGGAGTTAAGAATATTCACATGTTTGTGAACGTATTTGTTTTTTCTTCCAGAGGCAAATGGAGGCAGATGCAGTCCCAGAACACTCGTGCCCTTAGTAGACCAGACACGAAACCTCAAACCAACATGGATGTTTAAGGAGATGTAGCAATCACATCAATGTTCAATGAACAGGATTATTCTACACTGTTGCCATCCACTCTTATTACCTCATAGCCAGTCTCTTGACAATGTGCCACTAAGTGTTCTTAAACTCAAACATTTTCAATTGGTCACAAATGGGGAAAAACATGCATTTTAGACAATTGTAAAAGGCAGAGCGGCTTGTATCATAATGTTTTTCGTCATTACAACCTTTCTATTTGTCATATTGCCAATCACATCACAACGACTGTGCTTGCTGCAAGCTTAGGCATAAAAAGATTTGCTTTTAAACGTAGTCATTTGCGTTTTGGAAAGCCAAATTCATAAGTAAAACAAAGCTGTCTGAGCCAGTGAGAAAAAGGCGAGGAGAGGAAACATTTTCCAAAGTTCAAGCGTGAATACATTTGCGGCAAAACACAGAATTCACTTTAAAGGTACGCTGTGATGTCATGACAGGGACTGAGCAAGCTTTAGCAGAGTTGCCAGCCGTTTTTAAGTGTGGCAGGTAGTCAAATAATGTTTTGCATTTCACACTGACTCACCTCCGATGCTACAAGCTAAAATGTGATTCAACCGATTAGTTTTTGCTGTCGAGTAAAAGAGCAGCTTGTAAAAAAAAAGGTAACAAATGGCTTTATATTTATGTTTGTCGGATCATTTACTGTAAAAAAAACTTAGGACAGGCTTACCTTCACTTTTGCCACAACTTACCAAACAATGTTAGCTCATGTTAACGCAGAGGCTGCAATAGGTCAAACAGATGTAAAATGTCCCTCTTCTGCATCACTGTCAAGCTACTTCTAAAAGTATGTGTGTCGCTTATTTTGAATAGATGTTTGAATGACACTTTGAAGAAAAATACCACTGTGAAGACAGAAAACTGAGAAGCAAATGTGTGTTCTTGTACAGGAGCCTGCTGGAGCGTGTGGGATGTGGGGAGGTTATCGGTTAGAACGCTGGAGGCGTAGCCTCTCCTCCTGGTCTCAGCTGCACAGACCTGACCTAAGCATACAAACACACACATTAAAACCATTTTATATGTCATGTTCCAGCGTGATCAGCAGAGCCCCGGGGCTAAAGCTGGTGGTGGAGACACTGATGTCATCTCTGAAGCCCATCGGGAACATCGTGGTCATCTGCTGTGCCTTCTTCATTATCTTTGGCATCCTGGGGGTACAGGTGAGAGGAGGAAAGGTTATGAAAACAAGGGTACTGACGGGGACGATAGTTCAACAGTCTGAGATGTGATAAACTACGTCACAGTTGTTTATTCTCCACAGTTACACCTCAGGGGAGTTTGGTGGCATCATGACAGATTAGTGGAAATCGGTTTTCCTATGTTACCTCCACATAACAGTCCATATACCAGAGCAGCTATATGTGTTCATCTGGCCTCAGAAGAGATTTCAAGGCCAGAGTGTACAAATAAGATAGTCCACCATTGTTCTGTTCCGCCTCCTGGTAATCTCCAATCCTCCTGGTCATGTCCACAAACCTTCTAACCAAATCAAATTATGGGCTAATTAAGGGCTAAGCAACAATTGGAATGTCCACTTATTCAAGAGGCCAGTAGAAATGCGCAAAATGCCATTTCCGGTGAGCCTGTTGTTATTTCCCAACCTTTGGCTTTTATGGTGTGCCGGTTATAGTGTTAGGAAAATATTACCAGTATTTTTAAATGGCCATAAGCCCCAAAAATAAGCAAAACACTTACTAAAGATACCAAGTTTTGAGAGACATGTCTGTGTTTTTCTCCTCAGCTTTTTAAGGGAAAGTTCTTCGTTTGTGAGGGCGAAGACGTAAGGAACATCACCAATAAGTCGGACTGTTTGCAAGCCAACTATAAATGGGTCAGGCACAAGTACAACTTTGACAACCTGGGACAGGTAGGTTCTCAAAACCTTTGTACTGCTGCCTATATTTATGTTGTGTGTAGGGATCAGTGTCCTGTTGTTGACCCAACCAAGCATCGGCTGTTAGACGGAAGGCCTCACTTTTGACAGATTTGGTATGTAGTGAAGTTTGTGGTAGACTCAGTGGTGGCAAAAGTCATCATCATGACCTAATAAGAACCAGAGGATTTTTATTTATGTCTCAATTCTGAGAACTGGCCGGTAATCTTTCATTTTCACACTGCTAAATGAATCTCTTCCTCTTTAGGCCTTGATGTCTCTCTTTGTCCTCGCCTCAAAAGATGGATGGGTGGACATCATGTATGATGGACTTGATGCTGTAGGAGTTGACCAACAAGTAAATACATTTTACACCTGAAATCACCTACAATTTGTCCAATGCACACGTCATGGCAAGTCATGTTGGAAATATCAAAGCGACGACGAGGTCATTCTTTGTTCTTTTTGCGTTTGCCAGCCGAGAATGAACCACAACCCCTGGATGCTGCTCTACTTCATCTCCTTCCTCCTGATCGTGGCCTTCTTCGTGCTCAACATGTTTGTGGGCGTGGTGGTGGAGAACTTCCACAAATGTCGCCGCCACCAGGAAGCCGAGGAGTCCAAGCGCAGGGAGGAGAAGAAACTGAAACGCATGGAGAAAAAGAGACGGAGTAAGGAGAAGGAGCTGGCTGGTCGGTAGTCTTTCCACATCTTTCTGAGTCCTGCTTGGTTTGAGCTTGAGCCCTTTCTTTCCTTTTGCTTTTTCAATTTGGTTTGGCCGAACCTGGGAGAGTGCAATTAGTGAGCTAGTACCGACTATAGTTGCTACTCTGCGGTAGAACCCTCCCTTTCCCTCAGTCATCCCCTTCCCCTTTTCCTCATCAACCTTGGAGGCCATTTTATAACGATACCTGGGGGTTACATGCTCTGGCTCTGGAGACTGCCCGACATGTGGGGCTTTTCCTCAACCCCGGCATCAGATTCGCAAAGCCGGATGTTGAGAAAAGCTTCCATATTGGAGTTTACAGAGTTAGAACAGCTGACCACTGGAGTTACCTCCCCCCCTACCCTCCCTCCCTTCCCCTACCATCCCTCCCTTCCCCTCCTCCCTTACCTTGCCTGGTCTACCGTTGACGCCGTGCTTGGGATGGCCCCTGTGGAGCATGCCCAGTGGGTGCTGACATACAGGGCTTGCATGGTAGTGGATACACAGAGCCAGAGGGAGGGGGAGTTCTTCATCTTTTAAACGCGCCGATCAGAAAGAAGACCCCCCTCCCTTCCTCTCTTCTGCATGCGGGTTAGTACAGCCGCAGGGGCAGGGATGGAGCAAAATCTGGAGTTGTTCCTGAGCTAAGATCTGAGATCACTGCGGATAAGATTTGTAGGGGTTAGAGCTAAAGGCCTCCCTGTCCCCCACCCCCCTGCGGCTGTAAAGGAGTTGGTGAGAAACTGCTTGTTTTGATTTTTTTACTCTTTCCACTGCCTCCTACAAACCAAAACATCTGTGCTAGCATTAGCCGTCTTTTGAATTCGGTGCCTATACTTAACAGTACTTACTCCCTTGTCGTGAAGGCACTTTGTTTTTTGTGTTTTGAAAAAGGAGCAGTGGACAACGATGGCTTCTTAAAGTCGAAAGGAAAAAGTCTTTTGAGTTTCTCCTACATGACAATTTTATCCATAACCGCAATGTTTCCGTCGAGTTCTTGAGAAATACAGATGGAAATTGATCTTCCCTTCACAGGAGCCTTCCTCCAGTGGTATCTGGGCAATTAAGAAACTCCCCCCAGAACATAACACACACATTCTACGTGTACACACTTTGCGGCAAAGAGGCCTTTTGACCTTTTTATTTTTTCGTATACATTTTCATGAGTTTTTTGCAGTTTACGTCAGATTTTTTTTGGTTGAAAGTTTGTCTCTCTTTTTTTCTCTGGCTTGTTTTGCTTTTTTCATCTACGCCAGGCAACTTTTTTTCTTTCTTTTCTTTTTTTTTATGAAACATGGCATTTACATTGAAAAACGTTGGTGAGTTTTCTTTTGGTTGATGAGTGACGGCGAGAAAGAAACAAAAAAAGAGAAGAAAGCTTGTTCAAATAGGTGACCTGCTGCGGTGACGTGGCACCACGTGTGAGGTGCCTCTGTTTTGTCAGTTTCAGTCGGGAGTCAGCAACCTCCTCAAAGCGTTAATCCGAAGAACTGGACTCAGAATCACTGGAAAGACAATACATAGGAACATAAAACCAGCTTAATCTTTCATCGTCTCCTTCTGGCCTTGCTCCATCTCTCTTTCCCTTTTCTGTCTCTTCAACTCTCTCTTATTTCAAACTCCCAGCCATCCTTTCTCTCTTGCTTTCTCCTGCTTCTGACTAACACAGTCTCGTTCCTCTAGATTTAATGGTTCCGGGGGTGAGTTGGGCCCTCTCTGACGGCACAATGCAAGGTACAGAGTTTCCAGCATGTTCTGTGTGTCCCTTTAATTCCCCTACCGCCACCGACCACGACCACCCACCATGGTGGCTAGGGTTCTCAGTTCTCTGATCACGGGAGGTAGGGCCCCATCCCGCGTCCCCGCCCCCCTGCCTCTCTCCCATCAGCCTCCTATCCGCTGGACATGCTGTTACCTGTTTTCTCTGTCGTGGCTTTGTCTTTCACAGCTATTCCACACCGCCTCCGATCCCATCCACTGTCCTCAGCACCGCATCGCTGCACGCCCACCGCAAGGGAATAAGACCTCGGTTTAGTTCATTTAGCAATAAATGCAAGTTTCCTGGGGGAAATAAAGATGTTGTCTGTCTTGTGTTGAGATGAAGTCTCCCAGGGCTTTTTTTTTTCTATCACACCAGCAGTGTTGTAGTTAACGTGTAGTTCCTGTAGTGGACACCGAGGGAATTAAGCCACTTTCAAACCAGCACATTGTTCTAGATTAACAAACCTAGACAGTTGTTTAAAATGTTTGGGGTTTTCTGTTTCCTCGCCACAGTGCAGCCCAGCTTTAAAATTCCCAGCTGCCATGAGATCAAACGCAGCGTAGAGATCAGGAAGAAGCACATTTGTGTCACTTTTTTAAAATTCCATGCGTCGCCATCGATATCTGCACGAGCCGCACTCGCCTATTTGTTTGTTTTTAGTTCACTAACTGATGCTGGCATGCTGAGAGCTTCACTCCAGAGAGGTGTTCCAGATGTAAAGCTGCTTTTGGTCATCAACAAACAGCGCCACATCAGTTGAAGGCAGTACAATATCAGGCATGAAGAACTTCTCCTGAATCTTTGAAGAGATCCGATCAGGTGTGTTAAAGCAGGGAAACATCTAAGGCCAGTAGGATGGCGGCCCATCCCTACTTTAAAATGTTAAACTGGACTAAATTATTCCACATTTTGAATTATTCTTAACCATGTTATTTTTGCACATTAGCGAGCTAACATTTACAATTAGCTCTAATCACAATCTAAAAATCTATTTGAATTTTTTACATTGTCATAGAGTTCACTTAAAGGTTGAGAGTAATCTTGGATTAGCTTTGCTCTCATGTCTTATTTTTCTTGTCAAATAAATTGGCCTGACACAGACAGAAAATATGGCAAAGGCTGTTTGCAAAGACCCAATATAGATAGCACAGAGTTATCATTAGAATCAAGATAGGATGGTTTGTATCTCTCCAGTAACTTTTTTCAAGTGCTGTCACTCAAGATCAGAGAGATTTCTTAATATGCGCGCCAGCAGCCACATTGTTTTCTGTTGCTGTCTTTATCCATGGCCCTGTACGGGAAACTTAGGTAAAACTGCTTTTTTTAATATTTGACCGCCTGAATATGTATATACTACAGTTTTATTTATCTAAAATGACCACAGCTCTGACTTAAAAGCCCTCTTTATTAAAAACTGTGGATGTGTGGCACTGTGGTACTGGTATACATCTGATGGTAGTCTCTTCTTGCACGGGTTCTTAAATGTAAATACCAAATAACAAGCTGCTATTAGAGGGGACAACAGGATGTCAGTGGTCAGTTCAGTGTTGTAGAATATCTTGGCACTGCGAATGGTTAGCTTACACACGTTACCCAGTTGTCACAACTCGTTTCCATGGCAATGCGCTTAAGATATTGTCGTGATAAATAAATGGCGAGGGGCACTGATATGTGTCTCTTTTCACCAACTCAGAGTCTAGAGATGCTTTGTGTGAGCGCGCTGGTGTTCCTGACTGGTGGACTCCCGCGCTCACGTACGTATTTCTGTGCATATGTGAGGGTGTCAGGGAGCAGATGGCTGCAGAGCAGGTTGTAAAATATGCAGGAGCAGCTATCTCATCCTCATATCCTACCTTCTTCTAGGTCTGGGTATATGTCTCAAGAGGAGGGTGGGATACTCACAGCCCTGAGTTTGATCCTATGCGGCATTTGCCTCAGGGCAATGCGAAAACAAACATAATACACAGTGTGTTCACATAACGTGGGTTTTTTTCGGCTTTTTCGTTGGGATTTCTCTGTGTGCGTGGGTGTGCAGGCTGCGCACATCGTGCCTGCGTCTGGACTCTTATCTTTGGCTTGCACTGCACTGGGGCAGCCTTTGGTGAAACAGAAGGAGGAGGAGAAGACAGGAGAGGAGATGATGGAGGTGGTACATTCTACCTCAAGACAGAGGAAAGAGGAGAAGAGATGCATTACGTTGCGGTAGAGGCAGCGGGATTATGCACAAGTTAAACAGGAAACACACATTCAAATTTAGTAAATCTGCTAATGATTCAAGTAGATATATCTTTAGGTTAAAAACACATTAGACTGGAGTTTTAAATGTATAGAAAAAAATTGTTTACTTATGTGTATCATTCAACTCTATCATTTCATTTTGGGATAAATTAGTTTAACAAACGCAGACAGGTTAGGTAAAAGCCAAACCTGAGGTTATGGATGGCACTAGCTTTCAGATTTTGGTAGAATATACTTTTTTCTCATCTCTTTACAACACTGATAAAGATATTTTATGTGAATCTGTGTGCAACCAAGAATATCTTATAAATGTAATGCAATTCTATTAATTTACGTTGTATTAATATAAGGTGATATTATGGCATGGATACACTGCGAGTATTTAACAATCATTATTCAAATTATCAATCATTACACATTTGAACATGTCATGATTCGTGGAAATATTCTAAAAGCAGGCTGTACTGCTGTGGTGGTCCCCCAGCTATCTGTGGGAGTGAGGGCTGTTGGATGCTGCTGTTAAACCAAGAAAATTGCTCTGGTTGGCTAGGTGGCAAGAACAAGATCTCCTAGAAAGTACCGCCCACTATAGCATACGTCACACCCACACTAAGACATTAGAAAGAGCGTAGTGTTCATGCTGGTGAAGGAAGAGGACCAGAAAAAATAAGTTTGAGGCAGAAGAGAAAAAACGCAATTGCTGAACAAATGGGGAAAACTAGTGACCCCTGGCGGCATGTTTGACCGCTCAGCGGATTGAGAGTGAATTGTGGTATTAGCATTCAGTAGGTCATTGACTGAAAGTTACTCCTACCCCTGCTGGCCACTGCTTACAGTAGGATGTTCTCAGCATCACGGCACATGTTAAAGGATGTTAGCTCCCTTGGGAAATAAAGTGGTCCCTCGTTTATTTAAGTTCTGAAACCCACAAGCAATAGATGAAATCCCTGAAGAAATTATTTTTATTTGTTCAGCACTATTTGTT